CGGTATATACGCCTGCTCTTTGTGCCTCTTGGTCTTCTATCTATAAAAGTGATAAATTGATTATGAATAGAAAAATTTATTACTCTAGAATAATTGTTCAGAAAAATTAATGAGGTAATAATAATATTATATTATTACTTAAAACATGTGAGGTGGCTTCGGTGTTAGAACCTGCAGAACCGACGTTTGAAGCATTATCAATCTGTACAAATAATGAGAAATAAATAAAGAAGTAAAAGTGAAAATATATTTGAGTGTTCAGAGTATGTAATACGTATGAGTAAAAGAAACAGAGAGAGAGAGAGAGAGAGAGAGAGAGAGAGAGAGAGAGAGAGAGTGTGTGTGTGTGTGTGTGTGTGTGTGTGTGTGTGTGTGTGTGTGTGTGTGTGTGTGTGTGTGTGTGTGTGTGTGTGTGTGTGTGTGTGTGTGTGTGTGTAAGTGCATGTGGGTGCGTGCATAATGTGTGCGTGCGTATGCGCTAGATTGAGAGTGGGTGGAGGAGGGGAGGGAGGAAAAGGGAAGGGAGGAGAGAGAAAGAGAATGCGTCCATAGAAAAGTGTCTTCTAACGTCCTTCTTTTTAAGTCTTTTAACACTTCAAATTTCACACGATCAATCTATGCAATCAAATGCATTGATCTTTAACTTATGCAAAATTGTGTCGTCATCAAAATATTTCTATAATACAGAAAAATTTGCTACAAGGACAAAAGTATAAAAAATAACAACATTGACATAGATACACGCAAATGCTCGAGTGCATATAATTTCTAGATCATTGAATGAAATTTTTCTTTTATAAACGTTTAACTTAATTGTACATCCGTTAATAATATTTTGTTGTGAATTTTTCCAATTTATAATGAAAATTAAAAAAAAGGTGGATAATTATTTGATATATTGTAAAATTTATTATATATACGTGTATGTCTTTAACTGGATTTTAAACTCTATATAATTAAGATAAATTTAAATTCTTGTCATGGTCACAAACAGCTTCAACTACGACTCTGTGATTATCTGATTCTATATATTTACATTGGTAGATGTGACTTAGGTGTCGTATGAGATCAATGATACGAGTGACGTGCACGAGCGCTTTTCAGAGCGAAACGAAACCGGGTTGTCGATTTTAAGCGATCGCGATGAATAGTTGCGACACTTGGAAAGGCAACATGTATGCGTCACGGGCACGTGTGTATAAGTTGATAATATGAATTCGAGTTTTGCCGCGAGTGCGTTTTACATGTTAATTTAGATTAATTGATCTTAATCAATGTATGACTTTTAATCTGAAACAAAATTAAGATTAATTTTTTATTTCTTTCTTATATTTAATGATCAATCGATTATTAACGATTGCGTATAAATCTAGAGTCTTTATGAGATCATTTACTAAGTAAAAGTTATAACTTAAGTTAACTTAATATATTTTCTTTGCAAAATATTTTTAAAAAGGCTTATTTACAAAATGAATTATCGACATAGAGATCACTTTTGCGGTTGCATCACGGTTTTTACACGTCACTTTCTCTAATGATTCGATCCATTCAGTAGTTTGCGGCGCGTTCAATTATTATACAACACTGAATACCGTATTATTTTCGCGACAATGATCCTCTTTTTTCTACATCTGAATCGATTCGAAGCAACCAATCAAGCTCATCGTGCAGTCATGCACGTCGTTGACAAGACTCGGAAGAAATTTTCATTTCTCAAAGAAACAAGCCTTGCGGAGAAAAACCAATTACGAAACCAGACTAGAATAAATGATATCTGAAACGCACATTTTTTTAGATTTCCAGAGATTTTTGATATAATATAATTTTATTCACGAGGAAGAAAGAATAAATCAATCTTTAAAAAAAAAAATTACTTTTTATTAAATAAAAACGTAAGAGCGCGCAGACATATGTGTGTCCATAACTGAATACCGGTGCAAAATTTATGTAAAATTTCTTTTACACGTGCATTCATAGTTATGTGAACGCTTGACTAGTTTCAAATCAGATCTATTGATACTACGGTTTCTTTTCTCCATAATGACATAACGTCTTGTAATATTTTATGTAATCGAAACGTGACTTGATTTTGAGTTTTGCGTTCGATCGAGCATCACGTTCACTCCCGCATAGTCCATAGTAAGATAAAATAATATCGAAAGATAGTTTGTGTTAGACCCGCGAGTAAAAAGTATTGCATGTCTACGAATTATCCCGCACGTTCACTGTTGCGGCGAAAATAGATTAAATCACTTTTACTTTTTATAATCGTAACGCAAAAGTATAATTTTGTGAGACGAAACAATACGAAACAGCTTGTAATGCTTGTACGGAGGTAGTCATGTATGCTGCACACGAAATCCATTTAATTGCGTTACAAAAGCTAATTCATAAGACTCTAATGTTAAACAACTGCTGTGGTAAATAAATTTGGACAATCATGTACAATTCTCTTATTCTTTTCAAAAGCAAATTAATATCGACTTTATTTTTTGATTTTTACAGATATTCATTATCCACAAATAAAATTTAACGCTTCAACATGAAGATCTTGTGGATATTTCTGGCTTACGTGACTCTCGTGCATTGTGGCAAAGCGAAAAAACAGATTCTTGAGCATGAGGTGATTGATGGTTATGAATTTGAGTATCCAAATCACGGCGAACCCGCGTTAGGCTTGATCGAGGCAAATGCTCATTATGAAGCTGTGCCTGTCATAGCAGTTGCTGAGAGTGGTCATCATTCGAGTCATCATATCCAGCCTGGTTACAGCGTGGGTGGCCCTCTAGCCAGTATAGCCAAAGGTTAGATATTTTTTGTGTTTAAATTTGCCAATGTGACTTTGCAGTCTCTCGTCGCGATAAACGAAGCCAAAAAACGAGTAATAAGAGAAAGTGCGAGATACGATAGAGTTTGAGAGTAATAGATAGAATAATAAATAATAAGCAAATTTCTTTTCTACTTTAGATATATATAATTGATTATTTATTGATTATTATTTAGATATATATAATTGTATCTTGATCCGCAGGAGCCGCTGATCAAGCTAAAACACAACTGAATCAGCAACCAGTGGCCGCTGGGCAGGCAGCATACGTAGCCAAAAACACTTTGGCTAAAGCGGCGGCGCAATCCGCGGCGACAGCTGCTGCAGCTTTGGCCGGCAAGCAGATTATCGTGTTGGGTCTAGAACAGCAGTCAAGGGACGCGCATGTTGCGGTGGATGGTGAGGAGCGACAATTGCTACAAGCTGCACGGGCGGCCGCAGCCGCGAAGAACGCGGCGCAACAGGCAATGCATCAAGTACAAGTGATCACTACGGCGTTGAACGCGGCGCAAGCGACCGCCGAACGTGCCGGGCAAGCGGCATCCGAGACCGCAGCCCAGCTAGCGGCGCAAACGACGATGGTGGGCCAGGCTAAGGCAAAGGCTGAAAGGATCGACGAACAGCTCGCGGCAGCACGCTTGGACTTCGACACAACGCAAGCAGCAGCGCTAAAGGCCGCCAGTGCCGCTCAAGCTGCACAAAACAATGCCGCGGCTGCGGCCGCGCATGCGGCTCATACCGCGGCCGAGGCTGCAGCGGCAAACCATCCAGCCCATTTGCACGATGACGAGCATGAGATCGCTTTAATAAACACTCTGCCCATAGATGCTTACGAATATAAGGGTTATCATCTCTAAGAGAGAAAATAAAGAAATAGAGAAAGGAAGAGAGAGAGAGAGAGAGAAGGGGGAGAGAGAGACTCACCACTCACAAACCGCGTTCATGTTTCATCCCTTCGCAAGTACACTTGCTCAGCAACACAACGCGCAAAGGCGCTTAAGCCATCCTTTTTCTTTTCTATTCTACTCAGAGATCATACGTCACTGTGTTCACGTGCTAGACTGCACAATAAAATATTGTTGCCATTCTGAATTCTCTATGTGTGTATTTCTCATTCTCTTCCCTTCTCGAAAAAAAATCTAATTCTTCAATTGCTTTGATTTTCTAATAAATATCTGATAAATTTAACTCTTTGGTGCCATATTACACGTTTTATCACGCAAGCAACATATTAGATATTGTGTAAAAATATCGCTTAAACATAAATTATAAAAAATTGTTTTGCAATTGAAACACTAGATTTTAATGAATAAAATGGTAACAAGAAAATAGATGTATCTTTATTAATAAAAAAGTTATAGCAAAAAAGTAAAAGAAATCGTCGAGTGTGCCACAGTAATACTAATGGATTAATGTTAACTTTTTTATAATAAATATTTAATCATACTAGTGCAAATGTTTGTTCGCAGATCAGTTTATTTAATATTAGCAATTAATTGGCGTTTTTGCAATTGGCGTAAATTTAGTTACAAATACAATGCATCATAATAAATACATTAATGCATCAAAAAATAATAATTTTTAAAAATAAAAATAAGAGAAACAATCTTCAATGATCATGGTCTTGACACATGTTATCAAGATCATGATCCTGAACAACATTCAAAAGGTTTCAGCCATTGTTCGGACACCTTAGATAATGCTAACGTCGGTACTGTAACTTTCAAACTTCATGACTCAAGATTTACTATATCAAAATATATTTTATCTATGTGTTTTGGAAAGCTCTTAAAATAAGCTACAAGAATATGCAATGAAAAATAGGGGATTCCATTTAAAAAATTCAAAGTGACCTTGTCCTGATCTTGACGACGTCACTCAGAGTCAAACCAATGTTATCATCTTATGCCCCCCTCGAAGTCCCAAAGTTTTGTCTGAAACATTTTTCTCTCAAACCTCGCGATTTCCAAATATCTGACTGTCAAATATAAAATGGGACACTTTGTATATGTACAACAATGTCCCTAAAGTAATTTTTTAATAAAGGTATCTGTTTACCCCAAAAAAATCCCAAACTTAGGTATCATTTTAGGGCCTCCAGGGTGGTGTAAGCCCTTAAGTATTGTAACAAATTTTTTGAGCATTGTGAGACACAATATTTTCTGAATGCTTCAAGTAGATATATAGTTAATTCAAATAAGAATGTGATTTTATCGTTGTTCGATAATCAGATGAATGCCGCCTTTGGCACTAAGTACTAAAATGGATGCTTCATCAAAAGTAAGCGGAACTGGAGTTCGAGAATGCAATTTAAATTTAAACTTTGATAGAAGACTCACGAGTCCAACTTTTGTTTCCATGTAGGCAAATTTCATACCTGAAAGTTAACATAGATAAGTAGAAATGTAACTTATACGTTCCAGATTTTAATATATACATATACGTAGGTAAATCAATAAGTACCCGTATTTGAAGACACGCGGCATTGCTGATTGCAAATTGGCATATTATCATCGTGTACTATCATCTTTCAAACGACGCCATACCAAATTTCAGAGTGATTCATGCGATAGTTTTGATTTGATAGCAATTTGTAATGAGCGTGTTTGGTGTTTTTCGATGGAAAAGCAATATCGATCCGTGATTCGCTTTTTATTTTTGGATGGAAAAAACCATAGACGGTATCCAACTTCGTTTTTATACGTTTCTTTATACGTTTTTCCATCTAAAAAAAAGCGAATCGGTTAATGTTACGGATCGATATTGCTCATTTTCCATTGTATCGAGAAACACCAAACACGCTCACTATGAATTGCTGTCAAATCAAAACTATCGCTACACGAATTACTTTGAAATTTGGTATGGCGTTGTTAGAAAGATGATAGTACACGATGTTAATGCCAACTTGCATCAACAATGTTATCTGTCTTTAAACACGGGTACTTATTGAGTTGCCCACGTATATATTATTATATATTTATAACTTATGTATTATATATATATATATATATATATACTATCACATATATATTATAATACATATTATTATATGTATACAGGTCTTGTACTCATGGTACACTTCAATGGTACAGCGCTTGTGGGCAGATAGTGTGGACCAAACTGAACAAAAAAGTTCTCTATCATTTTGCGATCTTCGCAATAGTTATCAAGATATTAATCATTTTAAAAAAAGAGAAAATTGTACATAATGGCCAAGTTTTTGTTCACTATGAGTTTATTGATCATTCTAATAACTTTAAGTCTGTTTTACGAAACTTAAAGTTATTTGGAAAGACAATGGCATTAAACTTTTGCTGCATATAATTTTGAATAATTTAAACGATTTATTAAAAAAATATTTTTCTGGTTTGGAATAAAATATTTTTGTCTCCATGTCTAATCAAATA